GATGTTTACAGAGTGACGGCTTTATAATCTGCTCCAGAATTCCCCCTGGGACTGTGATCAGGCGGACCCATCCTCAGGGGACGTCCTCTTGTCTGTCCCATTGCCACCCGAGGGATGGCTGAGTCTTCTCCGTGGCTGCTCTCAAACTCCTACTTTTCCCAACAGGGAATAATTTTATCTGGACAGACCTCCAGCAATTTAAACTAGGTAAGTCAGGGTTCAAGCTCCCCCCCCCCTTATTTCAGGGCCCAAACCAGGGGACAGGTCCCTCTGATGTCTCAAGAGGAGGGTCCTTGTGATGTCACAAAGGTGGGGCAGGGAAAGGTAGGGAGAGAAGCCAATGCAAGACGTGCACAGCTCTAGCGATCCTTGGCACCAGCTAAGAGCAGGGAGGTAGGGATGAAGGATCAGGTGATTAAAAACACATCACACACAAAAACTAAAAGCACTCCTTCGGCACGGCTTGCCCCAAGATGCCCTTCCCCACCTGGGATATCATAAAAATGCTCTGATGCTCAGCCAGCACCCTGTGACCTTTCAGCCCAAACCTCTAAGCTTCAAGGTCATCTCGCACGCACAAATTAAGCTTGTTCCTTCTCAGTTCTTGCTCACCTTGAGATTTGTATCTTCGCCTAGAAAAGCATGTCAGTCCCCTGAGACGACAGCTATTGCCCTGAGACCTGGCAACCCTAACGAGTTCCTGTTAAAAGGCTTTGCTTTGTTGTTCATGGCTCAGGTGTTACTATATTTTAAACCAATGTCTTGTAGCTGTCCAATTTTTGTTTTAATTTAGACGCCCTAGGTGCCAATTTTAGCAGAAAGGCAGGGTATAAATTCGACCACATGGACAGACAAATACATGTATATGGTGTATAACCTACATGGTGTAGAGGATAAGCAGTGCATCTCAATCTTGGGTCCCTAGATGTTCATGGACTACAACTCCCAGAAATCCTGGCCAGGCACAGCTAGTGGTGAAGGCTTCTGGGAGTTTTAGCCCAAGAACTTCTGGGGATCCAAATTTAGGAACCATTTGATAGAGTGACATACAAGGACTCACTAGGATTTTCTTCAGCAACATTACATTTCCTGACTTAAGGTTGGCACAGTGGGGAATCGAACTCCCAACTTCTGTCTCTTATCCTGAAGAACCAGGGAGAACCAACAATCTCCTGAAACTGCAGCAACTTCCTTGTGACTGGGCAGTTTTCTTCAGAAAGCACAAAAACAAGGAGGTTGTTTATTTCTCATTTCTGGCAACTGTTTTGAGGGTCAGGCGCTTCACTGCGGAGGCATTTTGTCAGCTGCTCCTCTGCTCGCCGAGCATGAGGTCCTTCTGATTCACCCACATTTCTGCCAAGCAAAAAAAGTGGGTGGCCCTGAAAAATAGATTATTTTCAAACCTATATCACTCCACAGTTACCTTAGTCTGAAGGTGTTGTGTTTTGTCATCAATTTGATTCTGCTTACGGCAACCCTCTACTAGGGCATCCAAAATATGTGAGGTATTTAAGAAGTGGTTTAACCAATGCTAACCCTGAGTGAGCTTCCACGGCCAACCTGAAATTTGAACCCAGGTCTCCTGAATTCTAATCCAACTCTCTATCTTCTAGACCACATTGGTGTGTCACTCTCCATGCCATGCATCCCTACCTTTCTATGAGTTTCTTACCTTTTATTCATGGGTTTGTGTTGTTTTTTAGTCGTTAAGTTGTGTCCGACTCTTCGTGACCCCATGGACCAGAGCACGCCGGGCCCTCCTGTCTTCCACGGCCTCCCGGAGTTGTGTCCTCCTCACTTTCTGCCATCAGAGTGGTATCATCTGCATATCGGAGGCTGTTGATATTTCTCCCGGCAATCTTAATTCCGTTTTGGGATTCCTCCAGTCCGGCCTTTCACATGATGTATTCTACATATAAGTTAAATAAGCCGGGGGACAATATACAGCCTTGTCGTACTCCTTTCCCAATCTTGAACCAATATCCAGTTCTAATTGTTGCTTCCTGTCCCACATATAGGTTTCAGGGTGGCACTCATAAAACTTGAGCCCTTGTCAGTTAATATTTCTCTGGGAAATCCTACTCTGGCCAACCCCCCCCCCCAAAAAAAACCACCATCAATTCTTTAGCTAATATCTTTGCATGTGTTGATCTTAAAAGTATTGCCTCAGGATACCTAGAAGCATAATCAGCTATAACCAAGATACAGTGGTGCCTCGCTTAACAAGTGCACCGTATAAGACGAATAGCGATCTCTTTTTTGTGATCACTAATGCGATTGCTTACCGATGGCCTCTATGGGCAAAACTCGCTTACCGATCTTCGCATTGCGACGCTGGGAAATCAGCTGTTCTGCGGCTCCAAAATGGCCGCCGGACGACCCAAAATGGCCACCGCAACCATTTTCGCGCCCTGCCCTCGCTTACCGAGGGAGTGAAAATGGCGCGCTATGAGGAAACTTCGCTTAACGGTGAGTATAGAAGCCATTGGAACACTTTAAACTAAGTTTAATGTGTTCCAATGGCATTTTGCGTCCCGTTTAGCCATGTTTCCTCATAGCGAGGGTTAATCTGGAATGGATTAACCTCGCTATGTGGGGCACCACTGTATGGGTGTGCCCAGCTGCTGATTTAGTTAAGGGTCCTACAATGTCTATGCCTATTCGGCCAAAAGGCTTTCCCACTAACAGCAACGGGATCAAATTAGCCCCAGGTGGAAGCTTTGCTTGGGTTTTTGGCATTGTTCACAGGACCGACAGTTTTTTTTTCTACTTCCTTTCATAGATTGGGCCAAAAAAGTATATATCTCTGTCTCACACGAGCTAACGTTTTATCTACTGCTAGGTGCTCAGCTACTGGGAATATCAGGGGCCAATTTTGGTACCATGGGTCTAAGCTTAGTTGGGACTACAAGTATCTCTGCATCTTGTTGTTCTTACCCTTTGTAATACAACAGCCCCCCCCTTTCAACACAAATTGCTGTCCCGGTTCTTCTTTCTTAATTTCTGGCACTGCTATTTGCAACAGCTTGCACATTTCTGGATCGTCTTGTTGCCAGGCTGTCAGCTGCCTTTTCGACACTCCTTGTATGTCTCCGGATCCAGCTAGCCCTTCCACTGCTTCTGTTTTTCTCTTTTCGTTCTCCTTTGTCAAAAGCATTTTGTGAACCAGATTCGGTACCATCCCTATGCGTAGCCCCTGTTTCTGTCCCTTTACCATCACCTCAGCCTGTATCCACAGGCATGCCTTTATATCCTCATGGATGCAACACACCATCCTCTGTCCTCCATAGCTCTGTCCCGGAAAATCCCTAATCAGAGTCCGACTACACCCAGTGTCTACTAGGGCTTTAACCTTGCGCCCTCCTATCTGCGTGATCACTTCCCATCTTGGATGTACTTTGCCACCCACCTTTCCTGCCGCAAGGTCTGTCATTGGTAAGGTAAAGGTAAAGGTTCCCCTTGACAATTTTTGTCCAGTCATGTTCGACTCTAGGGGGTGGTGCTCATCCCCATTTCCAAGCCATAGAGCCAGCGTTTTGTCCGAAGACAATCGTACCCCCACCCAATCTCTTCCCCAAAGCATTTTGTGAACCAGATTCGGGTACCATCCCTATGCGTAGCCCCTGTTTCTGTCCCTTTACCATCACCTCAGCCTGTATCCACAGGCATGCCTTTATATCCTCATGGATGCAACACACCATCCTCTGTCCTCCATAGCTCTGTCCCGGAAAATCCCTAATCAGAGTCCGACTACACCCAGTGTCTACTAGGGCTTTAACCTTGCGCCCTCCTATCTGCGTGATCACTTCCCATCTTGGATGTACTTTGCCACCCACCTTTCCTGCCGCAAAGGTCTGTCATTAGGTCACTTCATTAGGTCTGTCAGTTGTCCCTCCTTGTTTCCTCTTAAAGAGATGGACGGTACACCCTTCTGACCACCTCTGAGGGTGTCCCCAGTCTCACACTGTCCTACAGGGGAGGGGCAAGATCTGTTCTCGATCATCCCAGAGTGCAGGACAAGCAACCGTGGGCTCAAGTTAAGGGAAGCCAGATTTCGGTTGAATAGCAGGAAAAACGTGCAAAGTATTAGAGCAGTATGACAGTGGAACCAGTTACCTCGGGAGGTGGTGAGTGCTCCAACACTGGAGGCATTCAAGAGAAACGTAGATAATCACCTGGCAGATCTGCTTTGATTCTATTCCTGCATTGAGCAGGGGGTTGGACTTGATGGCCTTGTAGACCCCTTCCAACTTCACTTTTCTATGATTTCTATGCTCATTAATGATGGACCGGGCAGAGCCCTTCCTGGAATTTCCAGCGTGCCCACTGGGCACCACGCTCATTAATGGAGTGGGGAACTTGCCACGGATGGACCGGGCAGAGCCCATCCTCGGCACCCCTAAAGACCTCCAGTCCCCACACTCTCGTCTGTCCCTTTGCCTCATCTGTGAGCGGTGCCAGTTTGGCTACATAACACAACAATCCTCAGCTGTGAAAGGCAGAAATAAAGACACAATTGTGGGGCTTTCCAGAATGAGTGCAAAAGATAAATCTGGTGTCTGTCCTGTAGAGAGGATAATGTTATGGAGGGACACGCCTTCTCCTCCAGACCTCTGGAAATTGAGAAGGGATGACTCAGATGAAAACACAGACCTCAGAGTGTTGTTTTCCCCCCTGCCCACCCTAATGCAGAGATAAATTTAATGATGGACCGGGCAGAGCCCTTCCTGGAATTTCCAGCGTGCCCACTGGGCACCACTAAAGACCTCCAGTCCCCACACTCTCGTCTGTCCCTTTGCCTCATCTGTGAGCGGTGCCAGTTTGGCTACATAACACAACAATCCTCAGCTGTGAAAGGCAGAAATAAAGACACAATTGTGGGGCTTTCCAGAATGAGTGCAAAAGATAAATCTGGTGTCTGTCCTGTAGAGAGGATAATGTTATGGAGCGACACGCCTTCTCCTCCAGACCTCTGGAAATTGAGAAGGGATGACTCAGATGAAAACACAGACCTCAGAGTGTTGTTTTTCCCCCTGCCCACCCTAATGCAGAGATAAATTTAGACCCAGCCCTTGCGTTGGTGTTTATTTACAGAGCCGCTCCGGAGACTTCTGAACTGGCTTTGCTGGGACTACTGCCTTCCATCCAATCCATACTTCCTTTCCAAGCTTTTTTTCTTAAAAAAATAATAACATTCAGATTTTTTTCAACTATCTTTGAAGATGGAGGTGGCCTGGATTTATCTGCTCATGATCGTGGCTGGTGTGTCACAGACCTTTGCTGGAGAAGGTTAGTCGCCCATGCCGTATTTTGTTTCAAAGCTTAAGGGGATGAGAAAATGGGGGGGGGGGGTGTTTATTTTAGTGGGGGTCAATGCCAGAATTTTTTATTTTTTTTTTTTGCATCTGGGCCTGAGAAGCTTTGAAATGACAGGCAACTTTGCCGTTATGTTAATAAAGTGTTACATGGACAGTGGCTGTCAAGGGAAGGAAGGTAGGGAAAGGCTGACTCCTTCTGATCAGGATATTTGGGTTGGGGGGGGAGTTGCCCTGGCATCTTTCTTTTTCCTTTCAAACAATCTCAAGCAGGAAATGACTCTTTCTCTGCAAATCTCCCTCCACCTACAAGGGGTGGGGGAATCTATCTCCCATCTGAGCAATGTATTCCTGTGTTTTTCCCCCCTGCTGTCTTTCTTTTTCCCTTCAAACAATTCCAAGCGGGAAATGGTTCTGCTCTCTTTCACCACGAACAAGAGTGCTTCTGAGCAATGTATTCCTTTGATTGATTGATTGATTGGTTGGTTGGTTGGTTGGTTGGTTGGTTGGTTGGTTGGTTGGTTGGTTGGTTGATTGATTGATTGCTGCTCAATGTATCAGTATTCCTTTAAAAACATCAGGGGGAAGGGTGCAAGCGCAGTGGCCATGAAGTGGCCACAGAACCCCAAAACCTGACCCCTTCACAATAAATAAATAAATCGACAGCAACATGCACATGTGCAAAATCAAAATGAATTGAACTGATCTATCATTGGTACAATTGGAAACAACCCCACTGGTGAGGAGGAACGAGACCAATTGCCAAGGCAAATCAATTGATGTTAGCCGTGTGTCATGGGGACGGAAAAAACTGAAACGATTTTAAAAGGATCAAAATCGGTTTAACGCTGGTTCTTTTGGCATGGGCAATCAAGCCATGAGTTAGGACTCTGGCTGTGGAGCCAGGGTTTGGGATTTCGATTTCCCACTGATCCGTCTAGCGTCTTGTGTTTTAGATTCTCTTTGAGGTTTAGTGGGTCAACTATCAGATTGTCAGCATAAGCCCCTGGACTTCTAAATGTACTTATCTGTCCTGGGCCAGAGGATTCAGTCATATGCAGGGTAATATTACTCATACATACATACCCCATCTCCCTGAAAATAAGACCTAACCTGAAAATAAGCCGTAGTATGATTTTTCATGATGATCCTAATATAAGCCCTACCCCCAAAATAAGCCCTAATTAAGTGAAACCACGCCCTTCACCCTTGGGCAGCAACCAGATGACATGACTGTGTTTGAATCAATGTAAATTGCTGTACATGAAAAAAACATCCCCTGAAAATAAGTCCTAATGCATTTTCTGGAGCAAAAATTAATATAAGACCATAAGACCCTGTCTTATTTTTGGGGAAACACAGTACATATGTTCGTGTCAGTGTTATTGTGCTCAAAATCCTATGGATCAGATACATGGTGTCATCCCTTGAAAATTGTTAAGGGCTTTAATCCTTTTATGGAGTTCTATAGTGACGAAACCTTTCATCTGCTAATTATGTTGGGTGTGTGGGTGTGTCCGTGATACAGGAGCCTTGCTAGAGGAAAAATATGGTGGCTACTGGGGCTTGGCAAAGTACGCCTGCCTGCAGCTATTGGACTGCAACTCCCATCTGCTCTTGCCAGCAAAACCAGTGATGAGGACTGCATGGAACTGCAGTCCACCAACACCTGGAGGCAGGAGAGGCAGGCGAGCCCGATTTTACAGGGCCAGTGCATTTACGAGAGCTCTTCACGGTGCTGAATCCTGTCCTCGGGAAAGGCTCCTTTAAATTAATGGCTCCTTTAGAATTCAGACTAAAACCCGGAATGGATTCCCTGACCCTGTGAAACTGGAGTCAACTGACTGGAGGACTTGACTTTGCCCATTTTTGGTAGCCTCCTCCCTTATTTCTCTTTCCCTTTCTCTCCCTCTCTGTCTTTTCCTTCTTTTTTGCTTGTCTTCTCACAGACCTCTCTAGAAAGGTCTTTGTCTTCCGCCATGAACCTAGTGAGGCCTACGTCATCCTCAGACCCCTTCTCAAGGAGCCCCTGCAGAACTTCACAGTGTGCTTGAGATCCTACACAGACCTGACCCGGCCCTATGGGCTCTTCTCCTACGCCACGCACTCCGAGGACAATGAGGTCCTCATCTTCAAACCCAAACCAGGAGAATACCGAGTTTATGTAGGAGGAGAACACCTGTCCTTCAAGGTTCCGGATAACTCGTTTGACTGGGAACACGTCTGTTTTGGGTGGGAATCAGCCAGTGGTATTGCCGAGTTCTGGATGAACGGCAAGCCTTGGCCAAGGAAAGGGTTAAAAAAAGGACACGTGGTAGGCACCGACGCATTTGTTGTGTTAGGCCAAGAGCAAGACTCGTACGGAGCATCCTATGATTCTTACAATTCTTTCTCGGGGGAAATGACCGATGTGTATATGTGGGATTTTCTTCTCTCCCCTCACAAAATGAGGTCAGCCTACCAGGATCTTCAGCTTCCTCATGGCCTTCTGGACTGGAAGAACCTACAGTATGAAATCAAGGGTGACGTGGTAGTGAAGCCCAGGCTGAGATAAGCAGAATGATGCTACCTAAGAATCCAGCCTTACAAAAAAAAGAGACTCATTTCTCGCACTCCAAATTCCCATCCATCCTGCAGACACGTTATTTCTGTTTTGGACCCCTGTATCCATGGGGGGGATTGGTTCCAAGCCTCCCCCCCCTTGGGCAGATGCTGTAAAATGCAGATTATAGCACATGCACCACCCATGAGCACAGGGGGTGCCCCCATGGACCCCCCCCCAACCAGTCCGTGGTTCCAAAATGGTTGGGGACCACGGACCTAGAGTGTGCTCGGCTCGTCGTAGATGACCAGGGTGTGTGGCTGTTCACAACCCCATCCTCATGGCATGCAATACTATTTAATTTCTCACCTATTAGGAAGGCAAACACCGGGAAAAAGGACAAAAAAGAACTCTAGTTTGCATAAAACCTTAATCGAGAAAATACAGAAGCAGAATAAGAAGTGGTTATTATAGTTTGAACTGAAACTGCAGTGCCTCTCCCCTGAGCGAGGAAGACCGTTTGCTGGCCTGCTGAGTGTTTTGCCCAGGTGGGTGTTCACCATGTTCCCTGTGGACAGCCAACGTCAAGGGCTGTGACCTCCCTCCACTGTACTGGAAGAATCTCCTTCCCACAATCAGATAAGTGGCCCTGGAAGCTGTCCTGTCTGCCAGGACAATAAGATGGAAAACAGTTTATTACGATGTACCTCCTTCGGTCCTTTGATGAAAGATGGAGCCGGTTTAGCCGATGCCTTTGACCTTAAAAAAAACTCGTTCACATCATTGACCAGTATGTTTCTGAGCATGATCAGAGTTGACCTTTTAAGCCCTTTCCGATCTGGACTTTAACATGTGTCACTTCTAGAGAAATGCTATTTTTTTAAAAGAAAGTATAAATCCCAGCATATCTTTTCCATACAAGCTGCGACACTTAGACTTTAACATCTCTTAGTGAGACTGATCATTGCTTTCCTTTCTTTAATGAGATAAAATTCTCATCTTCAGGATGCAGGGCCTGTCCTGTGGTGGCCCCATGGCGGTCTCCTTTCTTAGGCGTTTAGCCGAGTAGCTTATTCATGCAGTTGTGATGTTTTTAACATTTTAAGTGGATTTTTTTTTGTCTGTGATTGCTGCGTTTATTTCGACTTTAGTAAACTACCTTATGAAACGCCTTCTGTTTGAGGGTGGTCTGGAAACCTGGCGAGTAAATGAATTAAAGCTGCCTATTTAAACTTCCCAAAGGCGTCACTGAAACACAAGATGATTCATATGCTCTGAATGACTTCGCAAATCAGGTTTATTCAGTAAAGCGCTTCACATCAGCCAGGTGACAGACACACCCTAATAAAGTGATACTTCTCCTATCAGTTCAAAAGAAGAGCAAAAAAAAATTGTGATAATGATATTGCATTAATACATTACGCTGTGTGAATGATGGGGCCGAACCGTATTAAATTGTCCTTAAGCATAATAAATTGTCCATGAACTGGCCTGCTTTTGCAAACCAGTTCATGGCCTGCAAAATATATATTTGAGTTTGCAAGGTCAATGAAGTGTCGGCTTAACAAATGATTAGCACCTTTGAAAACGTCTGTGTCCTCTTAGTACTCAAGATATGCACATCGTTCCTCGTTTTAGGTAAGAGCAGAGGGGAATGGCAATGAAAGTCTTCCGGATCGGTGCCGTCCTCCGAGAAATTCCCTTCCCTTCCTTCTCTTTCTCCCAGTTTTCCATTTCCCTTCCAGCAACCAGACAATATTTCAAGTTCAGGTTCCTTTAGGTTTCATAGCCGATTGGTTCTTTAAAGCAGCCCATATTTCATGGCGACTCGGCATGCTCAGTCCTCATCAGGCCATTTTTTAAAATTTCTGCTACTCCAGCGTGCTGACGCCGTCCTCTTTATCTTTGGAGTGTGAGAACATTCCCTGGGGGAAAGGTGGCCTGCGGGTGGAACAAATAAATGAATTAATATTGATTGGATTGGATTTTATAGCCACCTTTCTCCCCAGTGTGTCACAAGCAGGGTGGTTCCACTGGCCAAAATCCTATTCCTTGAATTAGGCCTGTGTAAGGGTGATGGTATCTCCTTCCTGCTTCCCTCATAAGGGCAGGGGTCCCACGGCTTGTGCCCAATAATGTCGATTGCCTGCAAGTTGGATGAGCTACAGGACAGAGGCAGAGCTTCCCCCCCAGCTAGACACTTAACACAAGTAAAATCTGCAGAAGAGGAATTTGGCCAGAAATTAAGGTACTGTACTATTAAAAAAAAACATACATTATGACCAAAGTTGTGCTGTAGATTTAGGGTGCAGTCACGCCAATTATGTCAACTCTCCATTATTTCAATCATTTAGTAAATTTCTGTTCACACAACGCGTGGGTAACATTGATTCATTCGGCCAGGCAGTGGCAGTGGTTGTTTTCCATCTCAC